AGCCTCATCACTTTGCTGAATGGTAGGGATGGCCCTGAATACCACATTAGACAAGAGTCGTCAAGAACAAATGTGTTCAGCAAGGCATGGCTTTCCTGCTACTTTCCAATGAAGATTATCAGTCAGAGGCACAAGTACAATTTCAATGCCATACTGAAGTTAGATCTAAACTAGGCAGAGGGTCAGACAACTGTTGCGTTTGAAGCTTCAGAACAACCTTCATCACAAAAGGAAGATTAAACACATGCCAGTAGCAGGCTGAGGAACAAACATCTATGGACTGAGTTCTCATATAGCTGAGCTAATCCCATTACTTGCTGTTCAATGGCTGATAATCCCAATAGGACCAACATCATCTACCGGGACCCAAGCAACTCCTGATGATGGCCCTGGGTAGTCATGTGAAGCTAGCAGCCACATTGCACTGGATCGATGCTATGATCTAGTTGAGATGCCTGCAGTGCAGGGGGTGGGACCAGTTGACCCTCAGAGTACCTTGCAACTCTACAAGTCTATGCTGGATACACTAGGAAATGTGGGGAATTTAGAATAGTGAGCACTAATGTAGGGTGGGGCTCACCTTGCAAAACTTCCCCTCATACATTTCTCTGAATCCCAACCAGAAATTACCAATTTTCCTCCAACTAGCTTACTTTAGATGGAGGGATTTGTGAAACTAGTGACTCACATCCTTAATGTATTAATGTATTAAGGATGTTTTAAAAAAAACAACCTTCTCTGATATTTCTGCAGATAATTCGTCTTTAAAAATTATTCAACAACCATATTTGCGAAAGAAGACATTCAATTTTGGAGGGTTTTTTTTTAATTAAAAAAATATATTTCGAAAGGTTGTATGGTTATTACTTCACGTCTCAGCACATTATGGGTTATCATACTCAGAACAGACCCCTTAAAATAAGTGGACTGAAGTTAGTCATACATCCATTCATTTCAGTAGGCCTACTCTGACGTATAACTAAGCTGGAATGAAGTCTTTGAATCGTTAGAATCACTGAATCATAGAACTGTAGAGTTGGAAGGGACCATGAGGGCTATCTAGTCCAACCCCCTGCAATACAGGAATCTTTTGCCCAACATGGGGCTTGAACCCATGACTCTCAGATTTAAGAGTCTCACGCTCGACTGACTGAGCTAGCAAGTCATGGGTTCCTAACTGAAAAGTACAGAGCTATGTCACAATTGTGCATTACTTCGACTTAAGAAATGTCTGTTTAGCTTATGCTAGTCTTTATTTTTTAAAATCCAAGACTTTATAAGGATAAGCATTGTAAAGCCTATATGCCATGTTTCTCCAACCTACGCCAAAAAGTATTGTGTATGTTTTCCTCTTTAAAAAACAACCCACAGCTTCACATTGCGGGGGGCGGGGAGAGAAAAGCCCATAGGCTAGAGAAAAAGCCTTATGCTGCTGACCCCTGCTTTAAGAGGGTAATAAATCAATGTTCAAGTAGTGTTATTTCTTTAAAATTGAAGTGTGGCTAAATATTATTCTGATATATAATTTGCCATGAAAGGCATTTTCTTTAAGAGAGCTTTTGTTGTTTGGCCCGGTGTGGATGCTGAATAATGGAATTCTCAGCAAGCAGAATATAGGGAGCCTGTACAGTAACTGATGCATAATCATACATTTTGCTGTCAGCTCTGGCATCCTCTTCATTTTGCTTGCAAGAGTCTGGATAGCATAATCACAGTGTGGTTGTTTGTCAGCAAGCATAAAGTGTTGAAATCTCTGCACTTCAGCTGCCAGCCAATCCAAGATGTGTGATTTACATAACATCCCCCCCCAACCGCCCTGCTCCAGCGCTATATTTGTTTACACCAACAATCAACATCCACTTTCAACCTGAATGCATTTTATTTAAAATTAAAGACATAGCAAAACAACGATAGAACAAGACTGAATGACAAGAGACATGGTGAAGAATATGTTCTGCCTCGCGCAACGGCAGCTGCCGGAAAAGGTTCCATAGAAAGCTAAAACAAACAAATAAGCTGTGGAAGGAAGGAAACGAGGCCATAAGCGGAGCACTTCCACAAACTCATAAGTGAACGAAGGGTGATTGTCACCTCTCCTTGTGCCCTCCTTATGCTTAAAGTTCTTTTGATTTAAGGTGATAATAAGAAATTTATTGGCCATCATTTCAAGCTCACTTGATTTTAAAAAATATTACAAAGAAAGGATAATACAGAATACAACAGTACATTAAAAGTTAGAATAGGGGTCACAGAATCAGAATTGTGGAGTTGGAAGGGACTCCTAGGATCATCTAGCAACCTCCCTGCAATGCAGGAATGTGCAGCTGCCCCATGCAGGGATAAAACTGTTAGAATTCCTGCTCCATGATTGCAGTCATGGGATTTTTGTCTATCACATGATGGTATATGTTTTGACTCCACAGAGTGGGAGGTAAGGAAACAGAATGTTTGTGTTACTGTGTTCCACGAAGAGGGACTATTGTCCTTTGTTCTTTTTCTTTTTGCTGCCTGATGCTAGAGAGAGAGGGAGCCATGTTGCTCCATTTGTGTTTATATGTAAATACAGTAGATTAGCCAAAATGCTGAGTTGCTGAGGTCTGTCCTGCATGATGTGCAAACTCTGCAGATCCCTAAGTGTGCCAGTGTCGGTTGGCATCGGTCGCTGTGATGTTCGGGCTGAAGAAAGCTTATAAAGCACCCGAACAATCGACCAGGAGGGAGGGAACATGCCAGTCGGGCATGTGTCTCTGCCAGAGTCCTACTCGAGTGTAGGCTGAACTCCTGACAAAAACTTGCAATCTTGGCATTATCAGCAGCATGCTCTAACCAGCTGGGCTGTAGTTGCTTGGCATGTGAGTCAGCTTTTCACAAGTGACTTCCATGCATCTGAGGCAGGGATGAGGGACCATGGTCTGTGTGTCCCTCTTGGCTTGTCAGGCTTCCCCATTTGGCCCACAAAGCCATACGCATGCACCTTACACCTGGTAAGGGTGGAGCTTGCCCAAAGATCACTTTGTGCAGCTCCCAAAGTGCCTGACAACCAGCTGGCTCTTGGGAACCTTTGTAGTGCTGCACAAAGTAAGGGCCCAGCACTAAGCAGGATCACTCCCCCTTCACATCAGCCTCCAAACGATTTGCATCCTTGTGGAGTATATTTGTGAAGGCAAATATACCTGTGGAAACAAGAATAGAAGCTACGGGGGATGGGACAGAAAGCAGGACAAGGGTTAAGTGCTCCTCCCCCTAACATTTAGCCCTTCCAAATTACCTCTTGCTGAAGTATCCATTGGATGCTCGCACCAGTGTTTCCAACTCATGTGTAGTTCTAGCCTTAATCTAGGAATGCATGCCAAATATACTTCATGGTAACTGAGCAGCCACAAACTATTTCTGTATTGGTTTATTAGACACAGAAAAAAATTGACGAGTGTCTATTCTAAATCTGAACTATTATGAACTAATGAACTTTCTATCTCAAAAATATTTCTACAGAAAATGAAATGAAAGTATTCCAGTAAATGTGTAGTATTCATAGAATCATGGAATTGTAGAGTTGGATCTACAAGGGTCATCTAGTCGAACACCCTTCAATGCAGGAATCTTTCATCCAATGTGGGGCTCAAACCCACAACCCTGAGATGCAGTCTACCAGCTGAGCTATCCTATTCAGCTAAGTTTTCCTCAGAGTCAACCCACTAAAATTGCAGAACATGACTAAATTAGGCCCATTAGCTTCATTAGGTCTTCTCTGAGGAAACCTTGGTTGACTACCACTCAATATCCTGAAAGCAGTGTAAACTGAGAGAAGCTATAATGTTTAAGTAGGTACAGTTAGCTAAAAGAGAGGGAAACATCTCAGCATTTCATGTTTCTTCAGAGCTGTTGACTGAGAAACCTCCCATGTAAGTAGGCAGAAATGCAACAATACTGCCCGGTCTGCTTTGAGAAATGGAAGCAATATATTTTAAAGGTAGAAACAGCACTTTTTAAATGTACCCTGACCTTAAAAGCTAGATGTCAAACTTAAGGCATTATCTATCTATCTCTCACCTCCCCACCATTTCTCCCTTCTAGGTTCTTCCAGCCATGGGCTTCCATTTAGTTGTGTGTTTTTGCAACAAAGCAGGGATGGTGCTTCATTGTTCTCTCAGCTGAAGGGATAATCAATGCAATATGGGGAATAAGGCAGCTTGCATGGCTGGAGGGGGATTCTGAACTGCTTTTTTCTTTGTCTGAAAGTTAAAAGTCCTTTGGAAATATACAGCCTTTTCATGCCATGTGTGGTTGCTTCACAGTTCCCTCCTTGCCACTTTCAAGCTGGTTTATGTGCGCGTCAAGAGAAGTTCGGGAGAATGAATTTTTGCCTGTCTTAAATTCCCTGTATGACAGACATAGGAAGTTGCTGTGGAATTTGTACAACTGCCAAAATAACAAATCTCCCATAGGACTACGGGAATCAAATGCGAATAGATATGCTAAGGTGTAGAGAGAATTATGACTGATAGGAAGAAAGAAGTAAAGCAAAAATCTTATTAGCTAACTGTATTAATTAGGCTAGAAAGATAGCACAGTGACATTTTAGATGGTCTTAGTCAGAGGCTGTGGATTGGGCTTTAATAATTTTCCTTACTACGTTTAATGCCATCTAATTAGCTCATCTCACCCTGCAGATTTGCTCAGTTCACTTGAAATGAATTTAAACATATACATAGACAAGATCAGAACAAAATAGGCTTAAGCGCTTCCCTTTCTTTGATGCCATGATAGCGCCATTAATACACTGGGACATGGTCTAAGCAAACCTCTGGTAATGGGATGTACCACCTTTTGTAGTGAGGCTGCCAATATACGTGCCACGATATAAAAATTGAAGATTAGTACATTAATCCAAGCTAAATGTCCTATTTAACATGCTTGATAATAAGAAACTTCCTTAGGTGAAAATGCATTTCTAAGGCAGGATATATTTGAAAAGTTAAGAGAAGTGAAAAAAACCTTACTTTTCTGACACCTTCTTCCAACATAACCTTCCATGCAGGAGCACACGTTGTTTCTCATACACTGTCCATTGTTTTTACAAGGAGGATTGCAGAAAGCTAATTTGAAAAAGCAAAGAAAGAAAGTAAATGCCTCACTACTAATGTGTCTGGGAACTGCAGCATAATCTCTCGGCAGCATGATGCTATGGAATGCAGTACCAGCAAGGCAGTGCCTAGAATAATATCCAAGACTCCAGATTGCTGTAACTCATGTTTCCACAGCTGCTTGTTTCTAGCCATAGGAGTTGCTGTGGCATTGGGGGAGTTTTCACATTGAATTGAGGTGCTGTGGTTGATATGACCTGGACACAAAGGGCTAAAGCCTCTCTCCTCCATGCCATATTCCCAATCCATCTTCTCTCCTCCAAATAGACTTGGTGAAAAAGACAGAAAGAAAAACCCTATGAGGGAAAACTCCACTGCAAATCATTCATTCATGGTTTTCCAAACTTGGATCTCCAGCCATTTTTGAACTACAACTCCCATCATCCCTAGCTAGCAGGACCAATGGTCAGGGAAGATGGGAAATTGTAGCCCAAAAGAGCTGGAGACTCAAGTTTGGGAAATCCTGCCTTAGTCAATAACATCACATGAAGACTGGTTTTTTGGCAGTATTCTACAAATGCACAAAACAAAACAGGACAGAATGATATATAAATTGTATAGTAACTAAAACATCTATGACAGGAAAAAAACTATTGACTGCTCTCACACATTAGAGGGAGGAGGAAAGTGGGAACCATGTTTCCTGTGACATGCAAACACAGTCTTTTTGTGATTAGATTAGGTCAAGATTAGGAAAATATGCATGCATTTGTAACCAAAAGTTTATATCAGATGCCTCCCGCTCCCCACCCCCATAAGTGAAGAAAAGACCCAGCTAGACTGTTTCTATGGGTGTCAAAGCAACTCAGTTAGTGTAAGTTCAGCCCCTGATAAAGAAGAAAAGAAGAGAAGTAGTTTATAGTCTGTCCTCATTTACACTGAATTTAGATTAATGTGGGTAAGTATCAGGCTATTTCCTATAATTGTGAACATACTGGGTTGTGGAATAATAAAATGCTGTCTTCTACACTGAGTAACATTTTGCCAACGTATACTTTGAAGTTCAGTTAATTACACATTGCAAATCCATTTGCAATGGTACATTCAATATATTTTTCACACATTCCACTCTGTTGCAAAAAAGAAAGTATAGAATGTATCACACAGCTTTCAGTTGAGACATTATTCTACACATCCCTAAACAATATGCCGGCTACACGGTAGGTGACTTGTTCTGGATAAAACTGTGATGCAAGTGGATGTAGCAAATAATTGATGAAGATGGTAAAGTAAAGGAAAGGTATATTTTCACCAGTGGGATTCTATTTTTCCATCTTACCGAATTGACACTGAGGTCCAAAGAAACCACGAGGACAAGCACACGTATTCGGCCGAATGCAGGTCCCACCATTTAGGCAAACCGGATTGCAAACAGCTGCATACAATTGAGGAGAAATTCATTGGTTAGTATACAACCATACATTTTTATTCCTGGTTTTTCATAAACGATTAAGAATCCTTGTTTTAAACAAGGGTCACGATCCAAAATGGCAGCTAAGACAGTGCTTCACTGTGATCAAGACACCCCCCCCCAATACCAGCAGTGTGTTTTATTTCTTAATTGTTTTGTAATCTTTCTCTCAGGTGGGCTTGTATTCCTGAGGCATAATGTTTTCCTCTTTGGGCAGTTTTGGATGGCTGATCAGTGGTTTGGGGGGGTGGAGTGGGGAAGGGGGATTAGCGTAAGCAAGTTAGGCTTTCCCAGCTTGTTGGAAATGTGGTGCTATTGAGATCTTCCATACACTGACATAACTTCCATTTGTTCATAGCACATAAGAGGTGCGCATTGCATTTTAGCATTGCTGTAAAGGATTTGAGGAGTCTGTCAAGAAAATCTATAAACCACTTAAACCGGCATTTGTGTGCACAAATCATCTTGGTCTCCTATTGGGCAAAAACACCTTAAGGGAACCCAGGCTTGTTTTATTGGTTTGTGGATCAAATGAGAGGGTTTATAAACATGCCTTTCAAGATTTGTCGTTTGCTCCGAACAAACCATCTTGCGACAGGCTTAGTAGTTTATATGAATAAGATAATCATTTCAGCATGCATAATCCTCCCCTGAAATCCATGAGCCTTATATGTGGGGCAAAAACAATGCAGGACAGCACTCTATGGGCACAATCTAGAGAAAGTAAGGTTCACTTAATTGCCATTGAAACTAATTGTGCTCAAGTACGTTAATAAAAATGTGTGTCTCTTTTATCCCTAAATGCACACACATTGTTATTGCAGAAAAGATTTGCAGGGCTTGAAAAAGACTGCAATCTAACAGTCCCAGAGATTTTCTGAAACCAATCAACAGTATAACAGCCGGAATGTACGCGGTAGGGGGACAATGCTGTGCTGCCACCTTCCTGACAGCTGCATTGCTACTGATTACTGGGGAAAGAGGAAAGAGTAGTGGCAAGATCAGGACTGCATGGGGGCACTGGCAGGTGCAACAGATTCACACTGCTTCTGCTTCTGTGCAGCCTCAACCTTCCCACCATGCCTGCCCCATATTGTCTCAGCAAACAGCAGCAACACCACAGCTGGGAGGCTGGTAGTACAGCACTGTCCCACTGCACCAGACACTCCTGCAAATTTATTTATTCATACATACATACATACATACATACATACATACATACAAGTATTTATATACCACTGTATCCAAGAGACACACAATTTTAAAATACAAAGCACTGTTTGAAAATAATAATAATCAGATAATCATTAAAGTGACTGGTTAATAAGTACAGATAGGGTGAACTTACAGAATCAGCTGTTTGCCACAACCAGCCCTTTAGAACTTTCTTCTCCATTATAACCACTTACTTTTAAGGAAAGGCCTGGTGCTGTAATGTTTTTATTGTATGTGATCTTTCAGGTGTGTGTGTGTGTAAAAACCTCAAGTGACTGGTTAATCAAAAATAAAATTCAATAGCTGGAAATCATCCCTGTGAGCTAAAAAAAAGAAGAAGTCTTCAGGAGATGCCTAAAAGTCAAAAGTGTGGACACCTTCCAAATATCTTCTGGAAGGCCTTTGTAATACAGGGAACAACTAACAGTGCTCCTCTGGATGATCTCAACCATAGAACTGGGTTGTATGGGCTCAGGTGGCCCTTACCAAAACAAGCAATATTGACAAGTGAACCTCAGGTTCTCTGGAAAAGATGGAGTCACCAAACACTTCTGCAGGTAGCTCTAGGACTTGTAGAACCAAAGAGAGATGCCTCTATACAACATGCTCTTTCAAGAACTACATGCTACAGTTCCTGAGCTCTCAATGGCATTTCCTATGCACCAGCAGAAGGAGCCAACAGACTGTGACGTTCAACTAGTGGCCAGTGGGAGTGGCACAAGTCCCATAATAGTCAAGGGCATCTGAGGTCCTGGAGCAAGAGCAAGAACTACTGATAGGATAGATGTCACCAGATCAGAGGGCCAGGAAACGGTGTCTAAAGGGACTTTTGTCCCTCACTCACAATAAATATACTGTCAAATCTGGCTATAAATATAAATTAGGCAGTCAGAACCATAAGGAGACTGAACAGTGGAGCTTCAACGATGCCAATTAGCCCTCTGATTTTTCAAAACAGACAACACAGAAGGAGAGGGGGACACTGCTAGAAGTACATGCTGGACCTAGACAAATGATGGATGGGCATTGCCTCCAAGTGAGGGTGTTGCACCCTTAAGCTATAAAGGATTCTGCTGTACATCTTTACCTGTCTCACACAAAGGGCTGCTCCATCCAGGTTTGCATTCACATTCATCCGGTGCAATGCATTTCCCACCATTGTGACAATGCCGATTACATACCACTAGAAAAACAAATTAGTCCAAGGTTATTTGAGCAAAGTACAAAGTACTGGTTTGTGGTTTTTTGCTTCAAATTGTGCTGATCAAAATCCAGAGCGGCTATGGAAATTTTCTCAGCCCATTTGCTACTAAAACTGAAATGAGAATATGTCACTTCCTTTTGTTTCCTGCTGAATTATAGACTATGAAAGGATTTATACAGAGACATTTTTTAAATATTCCAGTAATATAAGTGCATATATATATATATATATATATATATATATATATATCCCATCCTGGGTAAATTATTGTTCAAACATGGAGCAAAGAGTGCTATTCCAACACTATAATACATATTTGTGGTTTAAAGGTAATATAGACAGCTTTTGCTCTAAGGCAGATTATTTTGCTAACCACCCTTCACAATAGTTTGAACCTTAATGGCAAAGTTTGCTACTTTTTTATTTTCTCTGAGTATTTTTGCATTTGCTTGCATAGCCTTCAATTCCATAAGCATTATTGTACACAAGGCTTCTTCTATTATCAGTGCTCATGCACAGCAAGGTGGGCAGACTTCTTATATAACTGTAATGTGCTTTAGGAAAGCACAGCACAGGGGTGATATTCAAACTTAAATATATTTGTAGACTGTAGCTGCTACTCAGCTGTGTGCTGCTACTGAAGTACGTTTTCGAGCACAATTCAAAGTGTTGGTGCTGACCTTTAAAGCCCTAAACGGCCTCGGTCCAGTATATCTGAAGGAGTACCTCCACCCCCATCATTCTAACGACAGCTGAAGGCAGCCCTGTTTAGGGAAGCTTTTAATATTTGATGCATTACTGTATTTTAATATTGTGTTGGAAGCTGCCCAGAGTGGATGGGGAAACCCAGCCAGATGGGCAGAGTATAAATAATAAGGCCTAAATGAAAAGGCTTATGAAAACTAAACGTAGGCTGCATTCTAGGATAATGTGTTGAAAATACAGGGGTGTCAACAAAGAATATAATTAAATTCAAGAAAGGCAAAATAAAAACAGATGCACATACATGTTTCACATCTAGGACCCACAAATCCATAAACACAGGAACAGATATTTGGAGTGATGCATGTTCCTCCATTCTCACATGAGGGATCACAAAATGCTACATTAAAATACAGAAAGCAGATAATTAGAGATTTGATATGCCACGACTGCAAACTATGAACCTTCAGGATTTGCAGTAACAGCACAAGTCAATGATTAGAAGAGAGGGCATCAATAGCTGTGTCAGCACCACCTCCTAGTATCTGAAGGTTACACCAGTATTTCAGAAACATTACGAGAGTGCTAATTGCCCATATTTATTTGTTTGCGATATCCGACGTCTGCCTACTCAAGAGTTCCAGGCGAGGAGAAAACAATAACATTAAAATCACAATTGACAATAAATCAATCAGCACCATAAAATTAAGGCCAAACACCAATAAAACAGATGGCAGAAGCAAAAATGAAACATCCCCATACCACCACCCACCCACCCAAAAATTGAGCAGAGATGTGCATCTTTACATATCATGTTTGCCCAATCTGAAATAGCTTTTGAAGTGGCGTCTTTGAAATGAAGCGAACAATTCAGGATGACGTTAAGGCAATTGTTCAACCACGGGAAGCATTTCAGCTTGCTAGATGGAACAATTCCTCCTTTCCTCACCCAAAACACTGTCTCAGGGGTTCTATTGGGAACCCCATATGTACTAGGAAACAGACGAATTATGAAAGGGTGGGGCGTTCCTGTGAGAGAGGGGGTTATTTTGGGAGGGGCTATTGGTTTTTGTATTAATTATTTATTTGTGTTTTTATCTTGTGAACTGCCATGATATGAAGAAGAAGAAGAAGAAGAAGAAGAAGAAGAAGAAGAAGAAGAAGAAGAAGAAGTAGTAGTAGTGGTGGTGGTGGTGGTGGTGTCTGGTTTCCACCTGCCTTGAAAGCCTCAGAAAGACCTGCAGCTTAATCAATTTATTTTTAAGGCATAAATTGGGCTGGTGAAATTCAGCTCCTTCTCAAGTTTCAGGTGCCTGTACTTTGACATATGGGATCCTCCTTAATGAGGGTCCTGGTTGCGCGCACCCCCCCCGGGAGAGTTGTTGCTGGGCGTGGCCCAAGCCTTAACCATTGGGCCCCAGGGTTGCGCCGGGCTGTTTGGGCCAATCGGGGCGGTTGGCGTGATTCCTGGGGCCTATAAAAGTGGCAGCACGGCATAACTGGGGGAACTTGCATCATGTTGCCAAACACACACCCCTCCCTAATTTTAGGTGCTGCTGCTTTGGCCTTGCTTTGGATTGGGTCGCCTGCTTTGGAGCAGGGGCTGGGTAGGATTTTTTTCCATTTGGCAGATTGGATGTAGCCACTTGGTTTTCGCCTACCCACTTAGCAATCGTCACAATTGGCGGTTAGGCATTGGCTTATTGAAGTGTGTGGGAGGGGAGGTGCAGCCATGACCTGCCCCTCCATGAATAAGGGTATTCCGGTAAAGGAATCTGGGGGTCCTGGATCTCATCTGAAGTCCGCTTGAGGGGCTAGGGCCATGTCAGGACCACAGGAACCCCGGGGTGAGCTTCGTTGGTCTTCCTCAATGTTGCTCCCTCGTTTGGTGTTTACCCTTTCAGACTTCCAGCCAGAGAGTCAGTTATAGTCTGTTGCCAATGCCTAAGCCAACACCGCTCACTTTGCTGTAATCAATAAAGTTGTGGCCTAAATTTTGCCCAATAACTTAAACTAAAATTATGTGTCAGTGTGAAGTTATTTTCAAGGGAAGGGCTTGGGGGCCTCGAAGCGCAACCATCTGCAAGGTCTTTTAAGTCATTAATATTTTGGTGGACTCATCTTACAAGACATACTGCTTCTCTCTTTTAAGGTACAAACCCAGTTGAGAAGCCATCCCCTCTTTGCAACAGTATTTGGCTTCTGCGTATTGATCAGCATAATTGGACAGTTCTGTGATTCTGAATGAATTAGTACAAATTTTAGAAAAATTGAATTGCAACGTTCAGTGAAATCCACCTACAGCTTTCCTAAAACAGTTGCAACAAATTCGGCATTTTTACCATTAAATGAAAAGAAGATGAGCATTTTATATAATGATGCAGATAAGTAACCATCCAAATAATATCATAGTATATGGTCGAAGCAGCTATTGCTTTATGAAGTGATACAGTCAGTTATATTGGGGTGGGGATGTTCCTGAAAATTGTTAGCTATTTTAACAACTACTGTCACATTGTCCCTGTAAGGCATAAATTTCACCAAGTATTATGTATTTCTTTTCTCTTTGTGAGTCATCTTTCTCTTTTCATCGTATCTTAAATTGTGAAGGGCACTGCATTTTTCACTTCCCATGCCAAATCACTTCACCTATTATTTCACACATTTATACAGAATATGAAATTAAAAGAAATCTGCTGCTTGTTAGGAACCCAGAGTTGAAAAGTGAACATCCTGGTTAGAGAAAACATAAGAAAGATATATAAAGTATAACTAGCAAGCTGTCACCAATAATAAAAAATTTTTTTTAGTACTAAATGGCTTTCCAAAGCCTGCTCATGTCTCTTATGTGACAATTTTCTTCCCATCCTACAAACTCTCCACAACTTATTTTTTTTAAATAAAATGACCCATTTTTGCTCACATTTTCTTATGTTGGCAGAAAATAGTAATAAGAACATTATTTCAGCAAATTGACAATTTTATTGCAAAAAATATATATCGAAGTAAAGCTTTTTCCAAACTATTTCCACCATATAAGGATTCAATGCTTTTTGGTTTCAGTGGCCTTTAAAATATCAGGGAGTGATGATATGGTCACCACAACGTTTGATTTCCCATTTTTAATGTGAGAACACGGAAACTGCTGAGTGAATGGGGAGGCGTCTCTTGTGAGCCTAAGGAGATTCCTGTTTAATACAAAAAATGCAACTTACAGGGGTGAAAAGGGGGGGGGGTTGAAGGGGGAAAGATATGAAACAAAAGTGATGCCAGCTAAAATGGCAAAGAATAGAGGAAATCTCACTCCTCTGTTCACCTCTTGATACCTCCGCTCAATTTTCAGATCACCCCTAATTGATCATTCTAGATTGGGAAAGCAGCTAAGGCTCATTTAGATTTCCAGTCCAAAGTTTTCCATGCAAAACTCTCCACAAGTTACCACAATGGTCAATCTACACACAATCTAATAACATACATAAAACAGTTACATATATAAAACCAATTCTCTTTATATAAGCAGTTTGAACGACAACAGCACATTCATAGAATGAATTGAAATCCAAAACATATACCAAGAGGGATAAACATTTTAGAAGGCTTGTTGAAAAAGGAATGTGTTTAACAGGCACTGGAAAAGCAATAGAGCATGTAGGTATTAGTGAGTAAAAAAAAAAGTTTAAGGATCTAAAATAAATGCATCACATTTTCCATATTATACAAGAACAAAGAAAGTGCAGAAGCTCCTGTCTATACTGCTGACTTTTGTTTCTGGATGGACACACTACAACCCAACCACAGCTATGCTGAAATCATGGAACTGCCCATTGTTTTGGTTGGGAAGGTGGGGGGGGGGGAGAGAAAAGAAACAAATAAGTTCTATATCCAGATGGAGATGGGAGTGGGAAGTTACTGTATCATTTCCTATCTTTATCTGCTCAACTGCGAACAACATTCACAAGACTTGGAAGCTCCAAGATCTTTTCTGGACTTCAGGGTTTTTTAATTAAATAATAATAATCATTTTCATTTAACTCTTTAATTCACTCTCTTCTTTGTATCTAGGGAGTCTCCCAAACATGTTGAAACCACTACCTTCTTTTTGAGTGGCTTAGTTCACTTCCACCCAATTTCTCTATTAGATGATGTGATAAGAATCATCACGATAGTCCTGTAAAACTATAAATGCAATGTGCTCAAGGACTCAGATTGTTTGAATTCACTGAACTAAGTGTAATTTACATCGAAATAAACTTGCAGATCTTTAAAAATCACTTTTATTTTTAAAAAATAAAACACTAGGCCATATTTGCAGACCTCTCCTACATAGCATCTGGGATACTCGCAAAAATCAGTGCTGTGTGGTTGCACTTATTTTGGCATTCAGAAATACAAACAGCTTATGTAAAATAAAATAAAAATTAACGGTAGATTTATTACTGAAACTATGATTAGCATAAATGAAACAGCCTATGCAACATTCATCTTGTTACTCTGGATGTGTTCTGATGAAGGTGAAGCTGCATTCGGTTTTTTACTTCACCTAATTAAACAATTAAGGGAGATACAACCTGTTCAAAACAGACCACAGACGTCATTAGAGAGTTTCATGTAATTACTGATCACAGTCCCATCAAGTGCTGTTGCTGTGCAATCACTATTTAAAATGGATGTACATGAACAAGAGTGGTGCCTGGCGGATAATAGCCATAGTAAATTATTTATCAACATCTAGAATAATTACATGATAAAATAAAGCCTGATGTCTGGGGCCTGCGGACAAGCCCAGTGATTCTCAACATTTAACTGCATATGATATGATTGAAGGAGGTACTCTAGATTATGTGGTTTATGGACTGCGGCCTATAATAAAAGCTAACACAACTGTGGCAAATGGATGGCAGCCTTTGTCCAATAGAGGTTGCTGTTTCTAATAAGCTTGAGTAAAGCGTTCCACAATATTTTAAGAACCATATTAGGCAATGTAAACTTTGAGGCATGGCAGCTCAAAGCTGTCATGAATACAGATGAGAGGTATGAGGCCCATTTGATTAAGACATTTGAATTTATTACTGAAATTTAAACTAGTAAAATACTAGCGTTAACATTTTATCTCAGCCATGAAAAGTTGCCTCATTTTAATCTTCCTTTGGGCAACAAAGCCACAGTCATAATCTTTGTACATCTATCTGGATATTCCATTGTAAATATGCCACCGGTATAAATCTCAGGGGAGAGGAATTACATACAAAATACAATTATTTCTTGCATGTATTCATAATGATGAAAAGTTAATTTTGTCAGGCACAAGTGCTACTCAACGTTTAGCATTCTTATCCTCAATTTATTCCCTCCACAAGACATTTATTTACTGTATTCTACAGTTCTCTGAAGGCCTCATTTGTCAAGAACATTACTGTAGGATTTTGCATTACTTTATTGTTTTAACACTCTAACTACCTCAGCACCCTGGCTCTCACCACCAGGAGTTAGCAACTACTACTACTACTACTACTGCTACTACTATCCTTAAAGATTAGCTAGTTCAAGCAGACACAACAAAATATCCAGTCTAAAATATTCTAAAAACCTAATTTTTAATATTCACATTTTGACATGCAAAAGCAACAGACTCCACCCTGAGCTATCACAAAGTCTGCCACCTGCTACCTCAAAGAAGAAATGTCTGCCCATGTCCTTGTAATAAACTGTGCTTAAATGCAGTGACTGAAGTGGGTTTAAAAAATGGAAATGGGATTGCTAGGCCAGACTCAGTTCTATCAGCCTGAAAGAAGTGGAATGGTACCCAACTTTAATCACCACTTAAAATAAGGCTTGTTTGATATTTTGTTGGTTCTTTGAGAAGAGTAGATACACACAAACACTTCATGTCATAAAGAAAGAAAGAAAACGGCAAGAGCCTTTTCCTATTTTTTATTCAGTGCAGCACGTATTCTGGTGCACTGCACTGTATTTCAGAAGCACTACAGATATCTCACTTGCAGATCCTGCATAGGTAGAATATTCATGACTCCTTACGCCCTAAATCAGTGGCAGCTACCCAAGAGTGATACAATAAGTAACTGTGTAAATGCTTTTTAAAAGAGAGAATAGCAGGCACAGAACAGAGCCCTAGCTGGTGTGTGTGTGTGTGTGTGTGTGTGTGTGTGTGTGTGTGTGATGGTTTTTTTCCTGTAACAATTTCATAAAATTCCACTATCTCATGATTTGGGAAAAATGCTTCTGTAATTCTGGAAGCACAAAACTGGGGGGAAGGGGAAAGGAAGAGAGAGAAGTGAAGGGATTTGATGGCATGGGAGAACGAAGAAGGGTCAGATAAGAATAATGTATCTGTGGAGGCAGTTGCTAGCACAGAAGGCTAAAGGAAGGTGGGAAAAGGAAATTTTGAAACAGGGAGTTTGGTTTTTGTTACCAGATTAATTTATCTGAGCCCAAGGATTTCATACACCAGAAGATCAAGTGCCACATCGGGGAAATGTTTGAATGTACAGTATGTGGCATGATTAGGGTCTGGTGTTATTTTTCTTCATTTCTGTAAACTTTGAGCTTTTAGAAACCAGTGAAAGGTTTTAATGGCGTGGAAGGCTTCTAGTGTGGGTGGATGATGGATTGTCTTTATTTTAAAGGAGTAGACTTTTGTGCAATTGGGAATATAGTTTGGAGACTAAGGATTTCACACTGTATGGAAAATCAATGGCTAAATTTGGGGAACAGAAAATAGTGCATGTGTATATGTCTGTCTGTCTATATAATTTTACTAGATGTCACTGTGTTGGTTTTGACACTGATTTTGTTTCTTCTATGAATGCTGAGTGTCTAGGGGGAAGGAACTGGTCCATTATTTTCCTGCAGTAATTTAACAAACAATAAATAACCCTCATGGTCAATCTTAAAATAAATAAAAAAGCAATCTGTATTAATTCAAAAGGGACAATCAGCATATGCTGATTGAAAAAAAACTGTCACACAGTTTTTTTAAAAAATGCTGAACTTTATTTTATAAACTAAAATATTAACTATGAATGAAAAAGTACCTCACAAACTACAGTGTAATTTGTTTTAATAGAACAAGGTAACAGAGTTTAAGTAGTTAATAACCAAATATACAAAGTAACCTATTAGCACTTCCTATGGCCATGAATAACTAGCATCTGACTTATAAACATCTATTTTCAGGTGCATATATGAAAACTTGAGATAGGCAGTGGTAAACCTGCCTAATATGTGGGGTTAGACAAGTCCTAGGAACAGCAGGTGAAGAAGCTACATTTTTTGGGCAAATAGATTTTCATGCATATGGAAATTTAATTAGATTAATAGCACAGGTTATTTAATAATAAAATGATGAATTTAATTTGCAAGAAGAATTTTGAAAGAGGAATATACCCAGTCTCCCGTAATTGTGTATAACATTATTTCACCGTGCTCCTTTAAATTGTCTAATTAATGTGCTAATTTAAGCAGGAAAGTTAATCATCTTTTTCATAATGCAACACAGTGATTATATCTCTGGAGACATGTATATCAGGTCATAGGACAATTATGCCCTCCTCACCTCCAGACTACTAGTGGAAGATTTTAAAAGTAAAGTTATAATTTGGTACAATATAAGTTGTGAGTAATTGTATAGTTAATAGACATATGGTGCATTCTGTTAGTTTCATTTATGCCTGTTTTAATGTTACAGACAACAATAGACGTTTTCCCATTTTTTCATTCAAGCAATTTGGTCATAAATTTCAGTGGTCAACTTGTTGAAGGAAGTAGACTCTACTTCTAAATGTTGTGAATTCAGACACTTCTTCCTCTATCTCTCATACCAAATAGTTGTTCCTAATAGTTGCTCCTAAGTGAGTGTACTGTCTAGCAGTTGCTAGTATATCAGCACATGATCCATGATTCTGGAAAATCAAAAACAGCCAGATATGATGTTGGAGCCATTGGATGTTGGACTCAGACATGCCCTTTGTCAAATGGAAGGGCTCCTTCCATTCATGGAATATTAACACAGGCACTACTTTCTTCCTGTCTCTTACCTTGACATTCAATTCCATCACCGCTGTATCCAAATGGACAGGGTCCACATCTGAATTTTCTGTCCTTTGTTGGCTCACAAAGCACACCACTGAAACATGGTGTATCTGCACAGGTGACTTTCTTCTCAAGTAGCAGCCTATCAATTGGTGTGGAAAGGCCCAAATGATTAGCTGGGGAGGCATGAGGCTTTCTGCCCAAAGATGTCCATACTGGAACCCTTGTTTTTGTAGAAGCCCCTGCTGGGCGGATGGGGCCTTGTGGGGTTATACCAGAAAAAGTAGCTTTCAGATGGGATGAGGTGGCCAATGGTGTTGCTAAAACAGAAGTACCTGGGCGGCCTGCTTTAAAAGCAAGAGCAGATCTAGTGTGTGAAGTCCCAAGAGACTTTTTCCCAAAAGACTGTCCATCAAATGAGGTATGAGTCTGCAAATCAGCATGTGGCCTTGTATTTAATTTCTGTTCAGTGGAAACATTTCTTCTAGCAAGTGACTGGGCATGAATCTTATAGTGTGATAAGATTTGGGCTGCCCCTTGGTGAGTTGTTTCATGGTGCAGAAGAAGGCTCTGGGTGCTGTTTTTCGCTTCATCTAATGAAATGCGTCTGTGAAACAGTTTGGAATTCAAAACCAGCTTCTTCACAGATGATGCCTGAGGCCAAGGTTCCACTCTTTCACTGGCTAGTGGCTGAATGTCAACAGTGATAGGATATCGAGCTGTAAGGAAAGTTGTTTCTGGTTTGGAGATGTGGACTTGTGAGAGCCTCGAATCAGTATTATTTGATCTCTTTAAGTCATCTTGAGTGGAAGAAACCTTAACATCCCCGGTGACTTTCATTGGTACATCAGTCACACTTTGGGTGGACCTTGACACTAAAAAGAAAGAAATACGGATCAGTAACAGGAAGTATTTAACATTTGCTAGTGGCATGGACAGCCATGACATGGCATGGGAGATATGTAGTCAGAGAATCTCTTGTGGGTTTGATTAGGGAAGTGGTGCTGTGGAGAGATTGTAACCCTTTCCTCTTTTGCCTATCAAATCCTTCCTGAAGCTGCTATAGTTGGTTTTGAGGGGGAAATAAGTAAGTGTGATACAGGCTCTTTCTTGTATGTCACCCCTTTCAATCTACCTTAATAGCATCTCAGTATGGCTTTCCCCCTTTTCTATAATACACATGTGAGTGTTAATTAGTAAAATAAAAACTTGAGTGGAAGAAGGTGGTATATTTTAAGGGTGAACCTCAGCAAAATGGCTTGAGAAAGATACTAGAATGCACCTTCCAGCTTTGCATACCAGTTCAAATTATCACAATTATATAAATACAACTGTAAAAGGATGTTGTCAGGATGATCTTTTACATAGGACCATAGGAATCTAAGTGAGAACATTTTGTAGCTCAATATTGTCAACACTGAATGGAATCATTTCTCTAGTATTCAGACAGGAGTCTTTCTCAGCCCTTCCGGAGATGGTGGGGACTGAACCCACCAACTTGCATACAGATGCTCTATCACTGGGCTATGACTTTACCAGATTTTGATGTGTTTGCAAAAATAGTGCATATGATAAACACCTTTTTGAGACCTAGAAATGCATGCTATTTCTTAATATACTCTTACTGTCACCCCTCTCCATGGAGAGGCCTGTTTTCCATCAATACCAACCTCCCTGCCCTCCCTTTCTGAATAAGGCTATAGCTTTCAAGACTGGAAGAGCCTTACAAAATCAAGCTGCCATTCAAAGAAAGGCTTATCCATGCATCAGCTCTCTTCTGCATAGTACTTTCCCTTATTTAATGCATAGAATCGACACTGCAGTGAGCCAGTAGCACATCCTGCAACAACAAATGTTTATTCGGCTTTACGCCCATCATGAAGCACAACACAACACAACAAATCAAATAAAACAGCAGACTCATACAAACCACAAGTAGTATAACACAGTTCACAACTCACAAGGACGGATATTAGCCATTTCATAAAAAGTTTAAGATTAAGATTAAAAAAATTTGGCACTACACTAAAACAATATCTGATGTCATTATAGAAAATTCTTATGACTATCAATAATCAGCTAACATTCCGTTCCGTCTCTTGTACGAGAGGACGGCTGTTAGGAATTTAGCACATCCTGCAGAAATCAAGCACAATGGAGGTCCTAGTGCCACAATGGATTCAGAAAGAAATTTTCTCCTACATCAGTGTTACTGACAGCGGGCAGTAACAGTTGAATTTCTGATTCCTTACCAAAGTCTTTCTTTGTTATTTTGTTTTAAACATCTACTCTATACGTTCCCTATAACCATAGGGGGCAGCTTATAGCATTAATGCACCACAAAAATGGAGTTGTTTGGGAATATCCATAGTGGCAGTTGGGTCTTCACCACTGTGTGCACTATAGAGATTGCCTAGTGAGATTTTGAAACTGATGAATAAAATGCAATGGAAACCATAACATGGGGATGTCTGTTGAAAACTGCCTAGTGTTGGAATAATTTCCCGTTTCCCTCCTCCATTTAATTCTGAACTGTACTTTTGCCGGCAGGATAATCACATTATTTCTCATTTGAAGCACTACATAATTTACCAACCCCTGAGAAGAAAGTAGGTTTCGTTAATAGAAATTAGAATCAGGGCAGCATTTTAATTTATTTCTTAAAGTGGCACTTTTTGTTTAACAAAGAAAGGTTGAAACTGCAAGGTTTGTCTAAGGTCATGGTTCATATCTTCAAATCGTATTTCAGGCAATCAATCAATACTTTAAAATCTATATACCATAAATCTATATGCAGAGGTGGAACTGGTTAGACCTATTCATTTTGCTTATTTAACCTACCAAGTAATTAAATATTGGATTGGATGGGAGGAAATACCAATGACAGTGTTCAAGGTCAAAGTTGACTTTATATTCGCCTCCACAAAGTGTTTTGCATATGCAGTACCAAACTGGATTTCCTTCCTTCCTTCCTTCCTTAAAGTGTCATGCATCTTTGGAAATATGAAAGCAGAATGAGCTACAGCTGGAGTGACTTCCTCCTAATACGAGTATTTGCCAAGTTGCATGCTTGGTATTATGGGGAACGTCAATGTCTTTGTAGCTAAAACAAACAAACAAAGGGAAGGGCCATGGCCACAATGTTTATTACTTATGGCAAGTGTGCTGCAGAAAAGGCCTTTGGTTAGTACTTAAACATTTTAAAATTGGGTGTGTGTGTATTGTTTTGTTTGGTATTATATTATGTATCTTTGTGTTTTTATATTGTATTTTATATTTATATTTATACTATGATCCTCAGATGAAAGGCAGTATAGAAAATATTATTTATTTACTTACTTACTTACTTACTTACTTATTTAAAGTGTGCTTATTATAGAGTAGCATTTAGTGCTGGGGGATCTACCTGCAAATATTCCTTTGAAACATTGACTTGGCTATAATTGTAAATTGGGGTAGTATTACTCACGTTATCTTCTTGCAAGGAATCTGAAACCTGCTTTTCTTCCTATCTTAGTTTTCAGCATCACTGGGTCTGAAAACCGTAGATCAGGAAAGTAGCCAGAGTGCTTCTATATGACTGGAAACATTATTGCGTGCTTTGGTGACAACCAGGCTAAATTATTACAACTGGCTTGACACGAGTCTGCCTTTGAAAAGTGTTTGGAAATCACAGCTGGAACAAAATCCTGCAGCCAGAATTTGGGCTGGGGTGTGTTTACTGGAGCATGTGACTCCACTATTGGACATTATTTATTGGCTCCCTCCTTGTGTTCCATTTGTGAGCACACTTGAAGCATTGATTTTTACCTTTGAGCCACAAATGGTTTTGGGAACACCCCTATCCATTGCCTATCCATGTAAAATTTGGCTATCCTTCCACTGGGTGGTAGGTGAGAATGGTGTGATTGACAGCTGATGTCTGATCAAATTGATGCCAGTGGAGAATAAACCAGTGGGTACCAAATGACTGAAGAGGGTTTTTATTGCCCTTCTACCCATGAGAGTTAGAAACTCTCTCATTCTCAATAATGAAATGCCTCAATAGATAGGTGCTTTAGCAGTCCCGTTCACAATTAAATCTGTGTTACTTCTACCTGGGCATTTACCCACCATTGGATCATTATGAGCCGCTCTGACTGGCCATGCTGAATATTTCCCCCACTTGGTTTCCTATTTTCTTGTCACAGCTTTACAATGTACTCTATAATTTTAAGAATGCATCTCATTATTAAGACAATTCAATAAATTTTCAATTTGTATAGCTTTAGTATCGTTAACATTCAGTAGCACATTCTGAATAGCTCGTCCTTCATTTAGAAAAATGTCTGCAAAGAAACATTTCTCTGACGTATTGTGCTCTGTGGTTCATTACTTTAAACTAGAAACATACGCCACCAACACCACATATGCCTTATCTAAATTGTCGGGAGAGTATAGAAAAATTATATTAGTCTAAGGAGTCTTGCCTACAAGAGTGTAAGATATCGTCCCATCTTTCCATTTATCTCTCTTCGCCTCTTTATTAACCGCTTCTCTGGGTTTCCCCTCTGAATTTCTTTTGTGACACAGAGAATCTATAACCCAACCAGGCTTTTTTAAAAAAAATAATAGGGGAAACCAAGAAGACTGAACAAGTCAACAAAATTGTCAAAGAGAAAATGACATGGTATGGACACTCAACAATGTCAGAAGCCATGTTTTTATATGCACTGCTGCTCAACACTCCACATATGGATGTGGTGTGTGTGTGTGTGTGTGTGTGGTGCATCCTTCTAGTGAAGTATAACTATATGCTAAAATTTAACAGGTTTCTACTAGGGCTGGGTGATAACTGGTTTTCAATAGTGTGGTATATCACCAGCTAAACATCGTGATATATTAATATATCAATATATATCAATATATCACGATATCTGAAATAAGGAAGGAACTACAAAGAAGTGATCAGGACAATGTCCTGGCAGCTGCTACTGCTTAAGGGTCTAAAACAGGTAAATGATGATATTATTAATCACCTCAATGTGCTACTCAAATTCACCGGACGAACTTTGCATGTACATGTATATACATGACATCTATTTAAAAGGTGGCTTCCAATGTGACTGTGATCATGTCAACTAATTCACTCAGTCTCCTCAAATGATTCACAGATCATTCAGATTCTGTGTTCAGATTCTGTGTCAATGAGGAAATTCAGAGGAAGGAATTACGGTAAGTCTGTATAGTTAAAGCTATGGTTTTCCCAGTAGTGATGTATGGAAGTGAGAGCTGGACCATAAAGAAGGCTGATCGCCAAAGAATTGATGCTTTTGAATTATGGTGCTGGAGGAGACTCTTGAGAGTCCCATGGACTGCAAGAAGATCAAACCTATCCATTCGGAAGGAAATCAGCCTGAGTGCTCACTGGAAGGACAGATCCTGAAGCTAAGGCTCCAGTACTTTGGCCACCTCACAAGAAGATGAAGACTCCCTGGAAAAGCCCCTGATGTTGGGAAAGATGGAGGTACAAGGAGAAGGAGACGACAGAGGACGGGATGGTTTGGACAGTGTTCTCGAAGCTACAAACATGAGTTTGACAAGCTGGCGGGATGCAGTGGAAGACAGGAGTGCCTGGCGTGCTCTGGTCCATGGGATCATGAAGAGTTGGACACGACTAAACAACAAAACCTCTTAACTACATCCATTTTCCATTTATCTTTCTTTCTCAAAAAACTTAAACTGCTTATATTTTGGTGTAGAGCAAAGGGTGAAGAACCTCAGGCACAAGGGGTCAAATAAGCCCTCCCAGTCCAGCTCCTCTATCCAGCGCTTAGCACCCTCTCAGGCTAATACCCCTTCTCCAGAAACCTTCATTGGTCCTAAAGTATTGTGTGTTGTGTGTATGTGTGTGTATACAGACTGTTATAAAATGCCTGTTTCATTATTGTTGTAGTTGTATGTTAGTATGCCTTATCATATGGTTGTATTTTTTTATTTTGTTTCAATTAAATATAAAACAATTATGTGTAATAACCTCAGGAACCAGTATGTGCACCAGGCAGATACGGATTTAGGATGCAGTTGCAATCCTAATGACATCCAGTATTTCCGTTTTCTGACTCAATTAATGGGTATTTAATTCCAAGGAAACTGCTTAGTGAAAAAAATGGACATATATTTGTTCTCTACCAAAATCTCAGATTTCTCAGTATAATCTCCATGTAGTGTGTGTGTGTCTGTCGGCTGTGTGTGTGTAAGCATTCACTGGTAGTGTTACCAGTGAGATGTTTTTAAAAGTTTAGCTGGAATAAAAACGGTGGCAAACACTGTTGCAAAGACTTCATTGCTGCCAAGTGAGTGGTGCTAAAATCTTGAGTTATTTTATAGCGAAAGAGGTTGTATTAAGTGAGAGCAATCTATTTACTCATGTCATATTAAAGGACTTATTTATTTGTCTCAGAGTCCAGATCATTCCTTGGTTTTCAAATGAAAATCTTTCAGAACAGTGTAATTGACATTTAAATCCATTTATTGCTGCATTTGAATAAAATGAGATCGAAGAATTTGAAAGCTTCAATCATTAAAGCAAACACAGTCCTGGCATGCAGCAATGATGAGGTGGAGTGCAAGTCAGAGGATATTTTTCTGAACTGTATAAGATGTGAGAGGAAATAGCATTTAATTCTAGTTAATCCATTTAATGCTTAAGATATTCCCCAAATGCAGCACTAGATATATCCCTCTCCATGCCAGCTACTTCATTATGAAAAGGGCAACATAAAGCTACAGAGAGCATTTAGCAGGAGGAAGCAATCAGAATTCAGGGCTATGGTGAGTGTAACATTGCATTGAAAAGCAGTAGAACATGCTGAACCTAAAGGAACTATGAAGATTGGGTAGGACACCAAATCCCACTCTTCTCTCCTCATGTTCCCTACATAGGTAGGAGGAAAAATGCTGGAAGGCGTATTGGCCCTCATGTACTTGGAATTACATTACATCACAAATGCACATTGTCAACTGGAAAACAATCAGTAAAAAGATGAAAGCAATGATTATTTTTGGACACCTGTCAAATTCACAATGAAGTAATCCATTTTCACGGATCATTTCTGAATCAGATGTGGAGAGTGCTGGCCTACCTATCATTAAATTCAGAGGATATTAAGTAGATTTATGTCCCAATAGAAAATTAAATGTTCTTTGGTTATTCATGCTAGTTAAATAATGTTTAGAGTAGTAGCAGTAAAAACTGCCGATGATGACATAGCAATGGTGGTGATTATGTTTGTTGACCATGCACACATGCCAGCCATTAGACCTGCTCCCTTACTACTGCTGTGGTATCCTTCAGTTATGTAAACACGCCAGATGGGAGTTAATAACAGCAGGGGGCATACCCTGAGTACTCCAATTTCTGACAAAATACGTGATATATATGGGTCTTTGCAGCTGTCTACTCTTCACACATTGACTTGTCCTAAAATGTTCATCCCGTGGATGGTGCCATAAAACTATTTATGCATAAGTATTTGGAAGATGCTGCTGGGACATCATTAGCTCTTCTTCATTCCTACAAACCAGACCAAATATAATATTAGCTAGATGAAAGAAAGAGTTGTTGCCCTCCCCCCCCTTTCCTATCTTTTTGACAAGAAAGTTGACATGTTTCCTCATGCAACCTCCCTGGTATGTCTTTCCAACTTTCTGCAGCACCTGAAATTAGAATGAACGTTTTGGAGGCAGTTTGAGGGAAGGGTGGGAGAAATTGAGTACAGTGGTACCTCGAGTTACAAACGCCTCAGGTTACAAATGCTTCAGGTTACAAACTCCGCTAACCTGGAAGAGTTACCTCGAGTTGAGAACTTTGCCCCAGGATGAGAACAGAAATCGAGTGCCGGTGGCACAGCGGTGGCAAGAGGCCCCATTAGTGAAAGCACGCTCTAGTTAAGAACAGTTTCAGGTTAAGTACGACCTCTGGAACGAATTAAGTACTTAACCGAGGTACCACTGTAACGACCAGCTGAAAAGAAGAGGCAGGACCAAACATTGCTGGTCTTTCATCATAGCTGACAGAAAAGCCCTGCAATTCAATCTCTTCGGGGTCATACTGGAATGGGGATGCTAGTATCATGAATGGTGATGAAACCTAAGAAGAAGAGTTCATGGCAGGCATGCATTGCATATAAGAATTAACCACTGGCCAGTCATCGAAGCAAAATGGATGACGATTCACCTCTCCTAGCTTGTTGTGCTAATAATTTAAACTGTGACAAAAAAGTCCCAGTTCCATTTTTTCCAGTTATAAATACATCTGTGCAGCAGCCATTACCCATCAGCCCTCAGCTCAGCAGTATAAGGGAACAAAACAGACTTCTCTTCTAATATAGGAGTTCATATATAGTCCTATATTGCAAGTAAGGGTTGCTGCTAAGGATATTTTAGGAGTTTTGGTGTGGGTTCAGCTGAAGCCTGGCCCCTTCCAGTTGTTCATAGCCAGCTGTTTCCTGGTGAAGTATAACTAGGTAATGACAACTAAGGAACAAGAAGGGGCTCTGTGCGAGACAAAAATGGTAGGCCCCCCCCAACTGCAGGTAGGACAAAAGGTGAAGTTGAAATTGAGTGATGTAGCTAGAGCAGAAAAGCAACAGGCTGGGAAGCAGAGAATCAGAGCAATGTTTGGTTTTGATTGAATCCAAGACTGCCAGACTCTATGGGGTTTATGCTGTAGCCCTCCACTGTAGGCTCAGGCTATATATATGCTAGGGTTGCCATGTTCCTCTTATTCCAGGACACTCCTCCTTTTCAGGTAAAATTTCTGTCTGGGGGATTTTTAAAATTTGCCAAATGTCTCCGCTTCCTTTCTGGATAGACATAGACATAAAGTGGTTGAAGACTTGCCTTTTCTTCTTTCTCCCGTCCCTCCCTCAGCAATATATCACAGCTTCTATATCCTATATATAGCAGGGTATTTAAAATGAGAGTCGTCATGCTCCTCTTTTTTGCTCTTCAGAATATGCAACCTAAAAACCATCTATCATAAAGACACTTGCAGTCTCGCTGTGCCTCATTCCAAAGAAACATGAACCCCAAAAAGCACCCAGAACCCTAGGGATTTGCCCGCTCGGGGTGTTGCGATCAATGTGATAACATGCACAAAAACTTCGTAATCCATGACTCAGACTTATACAGCGGCTAGACTGCACTTCTAAACAAGGTTCCTAGTAAGAATGCCTTACTTCTGGCGTAAACATCCTCAGATTGCTCTGTGTATTGCTGATATCCAAAAATACAAACTCTGCAAAACCTGAAATATTTGCATTAAGCAAAAGATGCAATCTGATTCCTTCATGGAAAGGACCTTCATTGTGTCTATTGTCCTATCCTAGGATGATAACATCCAGTCAGGTGAGGTGGGAAAAAGCCACCTGTTGTCTCATAGCAACATGCAACCTGTTTGGATATGTAAATGGGATACCTAACTGCCAGTTCACACCATTATCTTAAAAAGACAATGTGAGTGTATAGCAGGTTCCTCTTAAAGATTTTAACTTTGGAAGGGACTCAGGGACCATACGCCCCTAAATCTACAATACTTTTGCTTCTGTAAAATGTTGGAGGCTAGGACAACGACTATCAATCTGCATTCTGGATGCAAATCTACACTAAAATTCCCCTTCAGCCCATTGAT